CACATACAGTGGTACCTCTGGTTAAGAACTTAATTTGTTCTGGAGGTTCGTTCTTAACTTGAAACTGTTCTTAACCCAAGGTACCACTTTAGCTAATGGGCCCTCCTGCCGCTGCCGTGTGATTTCTGTTCTTAACCTGAGGTACTAATTCTGGGTTAGCCAAGTCTGTAACCTGAAGTGTCTGTAACCTGAAGCGTCTGTAACCCGAGGTACCACTGTATATGCAAACTGAGCCTTTGATGGAGGGTTTCACTGTATCGACACCCCAAAAGGGTTTTGTTTCTCCCGTAGCCCCAGCCTTGCATTTAGACAGGCATCCAACATTGTGCTCTGCCTCAGTGGCGTTCCAGCTTGCTGCTTCTAGGTCACATTACTGCCTCCAGCTTCTAGCTCACATAACAGCTAACTCAAACCTCTCTGCTGTAAACTCTGGCTTTATCTGCCTCACAAAAGCCCATTATCCTTTGTTCTCTTGATGGCCCAGAACTCAGTCACTTACCTCAACATAGGAAGCTAGCCTGGCTTCATTAGCTTTTAACATTTGCTGCATCCAGGGATTTGAGAGATCTTGCAACCAGTTTTAACACCTCAAGCCTTTATTAAATTCTAACACTTTCTAGATCCAGGAATTTAGAGAGGTCTAGCACCCTTGGACTCAAAACCACGAATTTTACAATCTTGCCTGTATCCTCTATACAGCATTGTGCTGATGGCCAATCCTCAACAGGACAAAATTCCGTTGCCTCTATTCAAGTTAAACAAACCCTGGAGGAAAAAAACACCACTCAGTGCCTAGAAAGAAAATTAGGATTATGATTAGCCTAGGATTTAGAAGGCTGGAAAACAGGATTATTATTATTATTATTACTAAATCACTTTTGCAGCCATCTTTATTTTTTAAGCATGCAAAATGCATTGGAAAGCAGAAAGCACGGAGGCGGGGAAGGAAGGTAACAGACAATTGGGAAACGTGCAACTTTTTATTGGGAGAGAGCTCTGTGGATGCACCTTCCTCTTAAAATCTTCATAGGAAAATATAATCACTCCCACTACTTTATGCAGAGCTTTCTGTGCTGTTACAACATCTGAGCTGCCACCCCATCAATCGCCACCCTCTTCTCATACCTATTTGTATGTCAGACAACCAAGGTGCCCCAGTTTAAAAAGGTACTCAAAGCACCACATTTAATGTGGAAGCAAAGGGTCAGGCATGAATGTGGATATTGATTAAACCCTGCTCCATTCTGTCTTAGCTGATTTGCCCCTCTGACCCTAATATTGCTCATATTAGCCTCCCCAAACCTGGTCCCCTCTAAGACATTGTTGAACTCAAAACTCCTATCAACTCCAGGCAGCAGGTTGGGGATAATGGGAGTTGTAGCCTTCCCTAACCTGGTGCCCTCTGATTTTGTTGGGCTCCCATTAGACCCCACAGCCATCATTGCCAATGGCCAGGCATGATGGGAGTTGTTGGCCAGCAACATCCAGAGGACACCAGTTTCCACCTCTCCCAGAGTTCCCTGTGAAGAGGGATTGGTTGTTAGACAACTCTGAGCCCCCTTAACCAACTACAGCTCCCAGAATTCTTGTGGGGAAGCCATGACAATTTAAAGTGGTATGATACTGTTTTAAATATATGGTGTGGATGTGGCCATACATTGACTGGCAGTGGTTGTCCAGGGTGTCAGACAGAGAGGGATCTTGCTTCCTGCTCCTTTTAACTGGAGATGGTGGGGGTGGAATGAACCCGGGACCTTTTGCTTGCAAAGGGTGGGTTTTTCCCACCAAACTATGGCCATGCTCTCTTGCAAATCGGCCACTGGTGAATATAATAGCTGGTTTGAAAGAGATAAGGTCATAGGAAACACAGGAAATTGCCTTATATTGAGGCCACTGGTCCATTTAGTTCAGAATTGTCTACCCTGACCAGCAGTGACTCTCCATAATCTCAAATGGGAGCCTTTCCAAACCTTACCAAAATATGCCAATCGGGATTAAACCTGTGATCTTCTGCATGCAAAGCAGATATTCTGCTACTGAATTGTTGTCCTTCATCTAAGTGTCAATAAGGCTCCAGTTCCCATGATTCGAACCTGTGACCTTCTGCATGCAAAGCAGATATTCTGCTACTGAATTGTTGTCCATCTAAGTGTCAATAAGGCTCCAGTTCCCATGATTCGAACCTGGGACCTTCTGCATGCACAGCAGATGCTCCGCCACTGAGCTGCAGCCACCCTCAGGTGAGATTGAGTCAAGGACAACAGCTGGCAAGGGGTATGGGACGGACTCTGTGTGTGTATGCAGTGGGCTTTCTTGTCAGCCATAAAAAGGGCAATGAATCCCCATTCCCTTCCTCCTGCTGAAATTTGTAGGCGGATTTAATAGCTTGTGAATGCCAGTATTAGCCACGTGCAAGGCGAGCGAGGGCCCCGGGGGGTTGTGCAAGTTTCCTCCCCATAGATGTATGTGCCAGAACGTTTCCTGTCAGCCTCGTACCATCTGCTTTTTACGCCTCCCCTTCCCTTCGGTTTCCTAAACAGCGCTCTGCCGCGCACTCGTTTCCCCTCTTTCATTGCGAAAATCACACACAATGGGGGTGGGAGGTGGGTGATTTGCCATACTGGCTCAGAGTGATAAGCCTCGGCCTGTTCCGCAGGCCTCTTTTGACAGCACCAGGCAGAGAGGTGGAGTATAAATGTTTCTAATAAACCAAGTAATTAAAATAAGATTTAGGAGACTTCTTTTTCCTCCTTCCTGCATTCCTCCAGGAATCCCCATTGTTGTTTTTCTTTTTCTTTAAGTTGAGCACCCTAATCCTTTCCCCAATACAGAAAGGCCAAGGCCCTGAAACAGCCCTCAGTGCCAGCAATGGGGAAACCTGTGGGGTCCTTGTTATTGCTCAACTCCAACTCCAATCGTCCCTGGCCATTTGCTACCATGCTGGCTTCCAGGAGTTGGAGGCCAGAAACATCTGGATGGTCATAGCTGAGGTTCCTTATCGCTGCTGTCCACCTTGCAGTGCTTCTGTAATATCTACTGCAGGGCTTCGGAAACCTCTAGGCCCACCCATTTGGCCCTGTAGCCCATTCCACCCAAGCCCATGCCCTTCTGTAAAACGCCCGCTGCAGTGGCGGACCTTGACGTCTCAAATTTCAGTGGTCCCCTGTGCAACGCCAATATCCGGCACCCCGTTGGATATTGCAGTTGCAGCGCCCCAGATGCTCCATACCCAGTGCAACCACACTGGTCATACAACCCTAGATCTGCCTTTGCCAACTGCAGTCCAAGTAAAAAGTTGAAAGGGTGGCAATGCACCACCCAGCAGCTTATCTGCAAAGCCCCGTGCCCAAGGTAACACTTTGGAAAGGGCTTCCAAAGGTCACCTGATATCATTGCAATGCCAGGTAATGGGCCAGTCAGGTGGCTCTGCCTACCTGTTGAACTTGGCCTGTGATGGATTGGGGAGATAACCCCCTGCCCTTCCTAGGCCTTAATTTCTGCCTGAAAATAAAACCAAACCAGATTCATCATCATCATCATCTCCTGTCCCCAAAAGGGTCTCTCACTGGGGATTTTGAGACAGACAGATGGGCACACATGATGTGACAGAGAGCAGACGTCTGCTTTCTTACTGTGATCTCTGATTCACCCCCCACTGGAGAAAGTTGGATGAGTACTTCCCCCCCACCCCACCAAAAAATCCTCCAGGCTTTTCTCAGTCCTGTGGTAACCCCAGACGTCAGCCTCCCATATGCTAAGAATTGCCCCATAGCCCCTTTTCCTCTGTCAAGAGAGCCTGTGCTCAGTTAATCTTTTGTGCATCCTGAGAATGAGATGGTCAGGCTCCTTCTTACAGGACATTTGTGGTTTGACAAGACATGGCCTTCTGTGGGAGCAGAGAAACAGCAACACTCGGGATTTTACGGCAGGGGCTATGGCGGGGGTGGGTGGGGTAGGGCCATAGCTAGGGGGTGGTGAGGTGGGCCCCTGCCAGGGGTGCAGGTGAGGGGGGGGCACAAAATCGGCTAAAAATATGTCCATAGATATGTCTATAAATACGGCTCTGAGGGGGTGGGAACTTTCTGGACTACCTTTTGAAGACCACAACTCATTGGTAGGCATATCCTAAGGCAAAAGTGGCCGAGGAATCACAGCAAATTTTACTGCAGTACTGTTGGTTTGCTGGCTGGCTGGCTGGCTGGCTGGTTATTTATTTATTTATTTATTTATTTATTTATTTATTTATGGCACTTAGATGCCACTTATTCTTTCAAGGAACTCAAGATACTGTGCATGGTTCTCCCCTCACACCCATTTTATCCTCACAACAACCCTGTGAGGTTGGTTAGGCTGAGAGACAGTGGCTGGCCAAAGGTCACCCAGTGAGCTTCATAGCTGAGGGAGGATTTGAACCCGATTCTCCCAGGTACCTCAGTCCCAAGGGCCAAATGTGGCCCTGCAGGCCTCTCTATATGGCCCCTGAAGACTCTCCCCAGGCCACTTCGCTCACTGGCCCTGCTTTGCATGCTTTTGCCTGGCTGGAATGTACCCTTGAACTCTGGATAAAAGCTTCTAGCTTGCCTGGATAGAGGACACAGAAGGGTGTGCCGCTCTGTGCGTAGGGTGGGATTAAATAAAATTTAATTAATAAATAAATTTTAGAAATCAATCATTGCAGCCCATTAATTGATAAAATGCTGAAGTGCTACAGACTGGAATATAGTGGTACCTTGGGTTAAGAACTTCTGGAGGTCCGTTCTTAACCTGAAACTGTTCTTAACCTGAGGTACCACTTCAGCTAATGGGGCCTCCCGCTGCCGCAATGCGATTTCTGTTCTTATCCTGAAGCAAAGTTCTTAACCTGAGGTACTATTTCTGGGTTAGCGGAGTCTGTAACCTGAAGCATCTGTAACCTGAGGTTACACTGTACAAGATTCGCAAGTCTTCCCTGCAGGAGAAACAAGGCTCATCTTCTCCTTTCCTTTCCCTCTCAAATGCAGGTCAAGCTGGGAACTCCCAGATCTCCTCGAGGGCAAGATCCAAGCGATCAGCGACTCGGATGGGGTCAATTACCCCTGGTATGGGAACACCACAGAGACCTGTACCATCGTGGGGCCCACCAAAAAGGAAGGGAAGTTCAGTGTCAGCATGAACGATAACTTCTACCCAAGTGTCACCTGGGCTGTCCCAGTGAGTGACAGCAACGTGGCCAAGCTCACAAGCATCCACAGGGATCAGAGTTTTACTACCTGGCTGGTTGCCACCAACACAGCCACCAACGAGATGGTCATCCTTCAGACAATCCGGTGGCGGATGAAGCTGGGCATCGATGTGACCCCCAGCAAACCTTTGGGGCACCGTGCCAAGCTGAAGGAGCCCCATGCTCAGGAGCAGCCACAGATCCTAAGCAAGAACGAGCCAATACCACCTAGTGCCCTCGTGAAACCCAATGCCAACGACGCCCAGGTACTCATGTGGAGGCCTAAGGACGGGCGCCCTCTAGTGGTGATACCTCCAAAGCATCGGTAATGAGACCCCCTCTCTCCCTAAGTGTGTCCAGCCTCACGGGGTGGATTGGGAGGGGTGGGGGCAGAGAGAGGAGGAGGAGGAGGAGGAGGAAAAAAACCGCTTCATATTTAAGAAAACATATTTAAGCAAAAAAAAAAAACCAACCAGATGCACTTTTAAAACTCATTTGACAGAAAAGAGAAATAATAATAATAATGCAACCATTCTACCTTTTCCCGTCGGAACGGGTCTCACTGTGCTAGAGACGCTCAACAGGAAGGACGCTCCCCTCAAGAGCATGACGGGGTGTGTGTGTACGTTTGTCACCAGACATCGAGTTTCTAAGGGAGCGAACAAATCAATGTCCACACACTTGATTTCCAGCTTTGTAAAAGTTGCTTTTTTCCTTCCTTCAGTTGTTGTTTTCAAGTTCAATCTCATTAACTTAGCTTGGATCACCTGAGAGAGAGAAAAAACGAAAAGGGTTTTTTAATATATATATATATATAAAATGAGGGAGGTTTTATTTTTGAGATGGGAGGAGGAAGGGAGAAAATTAATTTTATTTAGTTGGGAAGGGGAGTGGATGCAGATGCAACAGAGTAGAAAAGAAAACAACAATTTGTTTATTTCTCCTCTCCCTGGAGGATGATGATGATGATGATGGGTGGGTGGATTTTTTGTTCTTACGGAGATGATGTTCCAAATTGCAAACACAAGTCACGCGGCCTTATGTAGATTTTACTTTGCATTGCCAAACCTTTGCCTTAAGCTGCATTTTTTTAAAAAGCGGGGTGGGGGGGATAAGAAAGCAAGCAAGCAAAGAAGGCTCCTTTTTTCTTACTAGATATTAGAGTGAGCAGGGGGGGAGAGATGTTTTGTTTTGGAATGAAAATGAATCATTGAGCTTGTATCGCAACCAGTTGCTAAAGGAGGTTGCCATCTTTCCCCCCTTGCTTTTGAAACAAACTAAAACTACACCAGCAGAGATTCTCTTGGGACAGAGAGGCGGTGAAGGAAACTGCACCTGCTTAATTTCCACCTGACTGCTGCTGTTAGTAGTGCAGGGACTCTAGTTGCTTCGACACTAGCCCTTCTTTCCCCCTAAAATTATCACCCTATGTTTACTCAGTTTTTACAAATTGCATTCCTGTGTTGCCTCCGATGTCAGTGTTACTAACATTTCAGTGGGTCTACTCTTTAGTAGAACACAGTTGGATACAACCCTCTGTGTATCTTTTTTCAAATCTGATCTGTAGTGGGGTGTGGGGGTCTCTATTTTTTTGGTAATTTTAGGGCTTGTAAAAAAGACTTTTCAGGGATGCGGGTGGCACTGTGGGTTAAACCACAGAGTCTAGAGCTTGCCGATCAGAAGGTCGTCGGTTCAAATCCCTGCGATGGAGTGAGCTCCTGTTGCTCGGTCCCTCCTAGGTACCGCTCCAGCGAGCGTTTCCATGTGCTGCTCTGGTTCGCCAGAAGCGGCTTAGTCATGCTGGCCACATGACCCGGAAGCTGTACGCCGGCTCCCTCGGCCAGTAAAGCGAGATGAGCGCCGCAACCCCAGAGTCGTCCATGACTGGACCTAATGGTCAGGGGTCCCTTTATCTTTAAAAAGACTTTTCAGGGCTCCTCTTTAATTACAAACTTCCTGTGTACAGATTCAACCCACTTTATTGCTTTCTGTTTAGTTCAATGGAGGGATATTAGTCCCTTTACTGCCGAATATTGTCAGTTTCTGATCCTGTGAACAGAGGTGCTTTAAGTATGCATTGCCTCCCATTTTAGCCCCTTTTTATTTGTATAGAGCAAAATAGACAGTACTATTTTTCTACATAAAAATGATAAGAAAATAATGAGAGGCAATCAGTCTTTAAAGCCTCCCTGCTCACAGGAACAGAAATTGGCAACGCAGGAGAACTGTATTCAAGAAAAAGTAATATAATGGGCTGAACCTGCCAGCAGTAAGCTTTTAATTAACAGTTGCGGGGATCTTTGTTTAATGAGTCTTTCTTCTGAAAAAGCATTACAGAAGGTTCTTAGCCATGGGGAGTGGCATTGCTGATCTATTTAGTGTAATATTAAGTGCTGTGCAGAACCACCAGTTTAATTTTACTTTCTGCACAGTGAGGGAAAGAAATGCACCAGCAGCACTGAAAGCAACTAGTGTGGAAGCAACATTTGCTTGGGGGGAATTGTATTTTTCTATGTCACGGAGGGAAAAATCTGGTTCAAGGCCCCCCCCCAAGTAATCCTCCCTAGCTTAGATGGGGATGCTGTGACCTGTGCAATTGCTGCGAATTGTCTGCCTTCCCTTCCAGAAGCAAGAATTTTAGCTCCAGAACGGGAAGCCGTGGCTCACAGCTTCTAGGATCAGGTGTGGGGAACCTTTGACCCTCCAGATGTTGCTGAACTATGGCTTCCATCAGCCCCGACAAGCATGGCCAGTAGCCAGGGTTGATGGGAGTTGTAGTTCAGCAACATCTGGAGGGCCAAAGGTTCCCCACACCTTTCTAGAAAGAAAACAGAGTACCAAGCAAGGATAGCAGGAAGTGATCTGGGTGATGTTTTACTCTGGATTCTTTACTTCCTTCTCCATATCCAACCCTCTCCCCTTTGGGAGGGTCTTCAGGGCAGCGAGAAACAGTTGTATCCAACTAACTCGGAGTAGACCCAATGGAATTAATGTACCTAAACTAGCCATGCCCATATTGAAAATAACTTAATTTAGGGGCAGAGCTGTAACTTACTAGGGAAACACATGCTTTGAACACAGAACCTTTTGCGTGCAGTCTGTGGTCCGGGTGCTTATTGTGATGGCAAAGACCTCTGAATGTAACTTTTAGGAGCTGCTGTTGGTCAGAGTAAGTCCTGGGCCTGGTGGACCAATTGTTTTTATTAACATATATGAAATTGGTCACAGTGTCCATTAATTGCAGTGAGTCTACTCTGAGCAAAGCTTAGATACAGTTCATATGAAATATTTTAAGCAGTGGCAAGGATGGGGAGGTGGAGGGGAAGAGACTCAGCTTTGAAAATGCACAGGCCCCAGGACAAAACTTCCATGACACACCGTTTCTTTCTGGTATTCACAGGAACAGGACTGTTTTCCCCTCTAATGATACGGGGCAGCCAGCGTTCAGCACGGATCACTTGGGATCGGGGCAATATAGGGGTCCCTTCTTCACCAAAGGGGGAGCCCAGTGTGCCGTTTGGTTTAAAATTTAAAAAGAAAAGGAAGTGGGGAGGGGAGACCACATTTTCAACTCAACATGCAGGATTCTAAAATGCACACTTGTCTGTTTTTTTCTGAAAAGAATAGTTCTCTAAGTAATGGTGTGTTTGCACTAGCCGATTACCATCAGATGCGCTTACCGCTGTTGCTGGATTTGCCCCTGCTACTGCTGCTACTGCTGTAGGGTTTGCACTTGGCAAAGGGGTAGCTTGGTGTTAAATTATTGCTGGAAAAGCCTGCAAGTCACTCATCTGCTGTTTTCCCCCTGCAGGGCATGAAAGAGATGGTGCAAAACAAAATAAAAACAAACCATCCAACCACCCCAAAATGCATGATTAAGAGTTTACCTGCAGAAATATTTGGCTAGTGATTCCTTTTGAAAATATACATGTTCCCTCCACCACCCAACGTATGGGGGTATAGCCATAGTTACTGCCCTCCGTTTTCAGAACAGGGGTAAAACAGGAGTTGCTTACTCCTGATGGAAGCCATTTCTTTTCCAAAACAGGACAGTAGTGACACACTTTTATTGTTCCAGTTAGAAGTGGGAGTTTATCATTGCTGCTTAAAATTTCAATAACCAGCTATATATATATATATATGAGATATGGATACTTGTCTTGAGAAACCACACATTCAGAATCTAGGGTGTGGGTGTATTAACCTAATCCATCCAAACAATTCATATTTGGCGGCAGTTGGCCCTAAAGCTTGTTTTTGATCAGCCAAATCCCTCGCTCCTGTATGATCCGTAATCAAGCCAAGGAAATTAGACAGCTGCTACTTTTGAAGGTCACAGCTATATAGCACCAAACGAGTGTGCAATATGCTACTCAGAATGCACCAGTCACTGTGCCTGCATGAAAATGCTTACAATTACTTACAAAATGCCCAGAACAAGAGTCCTGGACATCTCAAGGCATGGGCTGATTCTCAGGCAAGGGTAATATACTCACAGAGTTATTAAAATAACAAAGCACCACTACAGTTCCCAGGATCCTTTGGGGGAAGGGGAGCCACAACTGTTAAAAGTGGTAAGAGTGCTTCAGTTGCACAGTGTGGATAAGCGCAAGCAGTGGAGGCTGGTCTGTTAGGCAAATGGGGCACTGCCACACCAGTCAATGCCCACTCACTGCCCTGCCTTCTTGCCTACAACCAGCCCAAGGGGTAGACTTGGCTGTTGGCTTCCTCCTCCTGTTGCCCTTGTAGAACTCAGCAAGGAGATGGATAGGGCGGGGCATCATAATTAATTGGCTCCACCTCTCATTGGTTCTGGACTGTGGCTCTACCTACTGTATGGGCTCACAGCCTTCTGCCCCACCAGCTCAGGCTATGAGAAGATGTTGCTTCAGCAAGCATCAAACTGAGATAGAACAGCATCATCTCCATCCCTCCTGCTAGTTCTTCCCACAGTGAGCGGTGCCTTTTGAGTTAAAGGGCCACAGCACACCCCAACGGTCTTGGTGCTGCCAGCAGAGCAGGGGAGACTCTGGTCTGACTGGGGCCTCTGTGAAAAGGTCTTTTAACCCCAAGGATGGCACCATTATATCTTCAGGCTGGGGCACAGGCATTAGTAGGTTGTCTGGCAGACATGCTTCTGTGGTTGGTCTTCTCTGTCCTTTCCCTTCTGCTTTCGAGTCCTCACCCTCATATCCCTGAGGACAAGGAATCTGATGCCAGGGTCACAGAATCATAGAACATCTGGAAAGGACCCTGAAGTCCACCCCCCTGCAATGCAGGAATTTCAACCAAAGCATCCATGGCAGATGGCCAGCTAACCTCCACTTAAAAACCTCCAAGGAAGGAGAGTCCAGCGCCTCTCATGGGAGTCTGTTCCACTGCAGAATGGCTCTTATTGTCAGGAAAGTTCCTCCTGATGTTTAGTTGGAATCTCCTTTCTTGTAACTTGAATCCATTGGTTCGGGTCC